GGACGCTTAACCGACTGCGCCACCCAGGCGCCCCGAGGGTCATCCTTCTTAGTGGGGCCCCTGAGGGTCTCTCCCGTAGCTCAGTTTGAGCCGCTCGCTGCCCCAGCCATAGTCATAGTGAATTGTTTTGTGTTTTGAGTCCATCACATCCCTTCTCTGCTAAGCCTTTCTTCGTGGTGATCCCCCAGCCCCAAACGCCATCTTCTTTTCCACTTTTCCCACCCACAACGTTCTTTCCTACCCACCTTCCCATCTTCACATTTTGCCTCCTCTAAGCAGCCTGCCCTGATTTACCCCCCCACCGGTGCTCTTGTGGCTCCCTGCCCTGTGGTGAACACATCAGACTCTGTTCATAATATTTTGATCCCTCCTCCCTCTTCCCCTGCAGACCATCTCTGTCCGGTTCATGGCTACGTAGCCCCAACACCTGGCACTTGATCATTCATTTAACAAATATTTACCGAGCCCCCTAGGGGGTGTGCCAGGTGCTGGGGAGAGAGCCGAGAACAGGAGGGAGGGAGAGAGAGCACAGGTTAACAGTAGGTAGTATAACTGCAAAGAAGTCTGATGAAGGAGACAAATCACGGAACTGGGGTAAAAACCAGTGGGAGGATGAAGAGGCTACTGGACGAGTGGTCATGGAGGGTCTCCCTGAGGAGCTGACATCTGAGCTGAGCGTTGGACAGAGAGAAGAGGGAGGGCATTTGAAGATCTGGGGAGGAATATTCCAGGCAAGGGGCAGCACAGGGGCCTGTGTGCTTCAGCGGGGAGTGGGCAGGACAGAGGGGATGAGGACAGAGGGGGATGATGGAGGGTGCTCCTCGATTAGGCTGCCCCACTTCCAGAATCTCTGACGGTGACTCATCACACACATTCCCATCACAGTCCAAGTTCACGCATGTGCGTGTCACTGAACCAAGTTTCAGGAAACGATTCTTCCCCTTAATGACATGTGATACACGCAGGGGCGCCTGGCTGGCTCATTAGGTAGAGCACGTGCCTCTGGATCTCAGAGTTGTCAGTTCAAGCCCCACGATGGACGTGGAGAGTACTTAAAAAACACCACCACGGCCGTGGCGCCGGGGCGGCTCAGTCGAGCGTCCAGCTTTTGATTTCAGCTCAGGTCATGACCTCAGAGTTTGTGAGTTTGAGCCCCGTGTCGGGCTCTGTGTTGATGGTGTGGAGGCCGCTTGGGATTCCCTCTCTCTGTCTCTCTCCAAATAAATAAATAAACCTAAAATAATTCTTAAAAAAAATAAATAAATAAAGTTTGTCAAGTGATATTTTAGACTACAGTAAGGAACTTGGGTTTTGTTCTTAAAATTATCAAACCGTAAAATTGACTTGTTGGGGTATATGGTTTTCTGAATTTTAGATTTTTATTTTATTTTATTTTATTTTTACATGTTTATTTATTTATTTTGAGAGAGAGAGAGAGAGAGAGAGTGAGCTTGCGCACAGCGTGAGCAGGGAGAGGGGCAGAGAGAGAGAGAGGGAAAGAGAGAGAGAATCTCAAGTAGGGTCTGTGCTGTCAGCACAGAGCCCGACA